TCATAGTCAAACTTTACAGGGGTGCAGGACTTAAGCCAATCACCCCCTAAGATCATGTCACACCCTTCTGTAGCCAATAGTCTGGGAGAGTAAGTGAACTTCTGACCTTGAATGTGCCAAGTGAAGTCATTGACCTTCTGGGAACTAATCATCCTCTGGCCATTGGCCACCTTAACTAGAATGGGTTTAGCTTCCCCTATCTCACAACCCAGCCTCCTTGTTGTTTTTTCTTGAATGAAGTTGAGTGTACTACCAGTGTCAATGAGTATGTGTAGTTTTTCTTGGCCAGCTAGTCCATGCACCCTCATTGTAGTTAACCCATCCTCCCAACTTATAGAATTTAAGGTCATGTGCACATCTTCCATCTGTTCCTCATTCCAGGAGTGGTCTATCTCACACTCTTTTAAGCAGTTAAGCTCTTCTTCTTCTTCTTCTTCTTCTGTCATGATCATGTAAGTGATCCTGTTTTTACACCTATGCCCATAGCTGTAAGGCTCATCACAATTATAACAGAGGCCCTTCTCTTTTCTTGTTGTCATTTCAGCAGAGGTAAGCAATTTGATTGGTGGCCTTAGGTTGCTTTGTTTGGGAAAACTGTTGGGTGAGTGTTTTGTCCTCTTTGTGATTTGCTGTTGGGAAGAAAATGAGGGTCTGTTGGTTGGCCTGAGTTTTTTTGAGATAGCTTCCAATGTATGCAGTTGTTTCCTTCCTAGCTCAATGGTCTGGAAGAGGGTTTTTGGATCAAACATTGTAATGAAGGACTGTAATTCCTCACTGAGGCCACTTATGAAGCTGGCAACAAAGTACTCTTCACTGAATCACTGTACTCAACTCTCTTCATTAGCATCATACAAGCCTTCAATTCTTCAAACTTATCCACATAGTCATTGTATGAACCAACCTGCCTGAGCTTGTTAAATTCAGCTATGATTTTGGACTCCTTGATTTCCTCAAATCTAGCTGAAACCACTTCTAGAAATTGGGCCCAACTCAGTTCCCTCTGCTTAGAAATGAAATTTTGATACCACAGGGCAGCCTTGCCCTCTAAATGCATGGAGGCTAGATGCACCTTCTCGTGTTCTGGAATATTTGGCATTAACTTAAAATAACTGTTGCATTTGAGGATCCAAGCTCTAGGATTATTACCATCAAATTTGGGAAAGTTCACCTTAGGCATAGGACTGAAAATGTGAGTTGGGTGTTGATCTGAGCCATTCTTGTGTTGAAATGATGAGTGTGATGTTTTGTGTGAGTGGATACCGTCGTTGAATGGCCCTAAAATGGATTCTTCTCCTGTGCTGTTTTTTGTGAGATTCAATAACTGTAATTGAATTGCTGCCATGGTATCTGTCAGGTGGTCATATTTGCTGGTGATTTCGGTGAGTTTATCCTGCATTTTGAGTTCCGCAACTTCCCTTTTCATGGCCTCCGTTTGTAAGATTTGGTCAACACGTTTCTGTGCCTCCTGAAGTTCTTTGAATCTCGTGCCCTCTGCCATGGCCGAGGATCGACAGCTCTGGTGCCAATTGTTGTGTTTTCTATTTTTTTGTAATTTTTTTATAATATATTTAATTGAGAATTAGATAAGGAAGATGGATTGGGGAAGAGGAAGCATAGAGAGAGAAGTAGAGAGAATTGTAGAGAGAGAAAGAGAATAATATGGTTGCAACATGCCTTTCATTTCACTCTCATGTGCTAATTATATAGTTCTCACGGTTATATCAATTTACTCATCACATGTTCCTACTACAATCATAAACAATTACTTTAGCATTTAATTAAATTAGCTATTTTTCCTTTTCCACGAGCACTTCATCTCCTTCTGCCACGTGTCCACTTGATTGGATAAAAGATGTGGTTACCAAATCATTTTCCATTTTTCCTTCTTTCTGCTCGTTCCCAGCCACCGAAACCCTAGCCCCCAAATCGCTGCCGGCAAACTCCCCATTTTCCGACCGAATCCACAACAGAGTTGTAAATAAGATGGACATGAGTATGGGATGACCAAATTATTGTAATGTGTGATTAGATATTGTCTATAAAAAGCAAACCAAATGCAGCGGGATAGATACCTACAAAAGAAGAAAAATTAGATTTCAAGTTATATCCGATTATTATTTTGAGTTCTTCATCTTCCCCGTTTTTATAACACGTTATCAGCATGATCGTTCTATCGGCTCACAAAGTTACCACGTCAAACCTGGTCAAGCTCGAATTTGAGGCATTTGATATCTCTGGAAAAAATTATATTTCGTGGACATTATATGCTAAAATTCATTTGGATGCAAAGGGATTGAGAAAAAGAATAATTTTCCTAAATGATTCGTCAATACAAGATAAAGCGAAAGCAATAATATTTCTGCAACATCATATAATTGATGGAATGAAACATTAATATTTAATTGTGAAAGATCCTGCGGATCTTTGGAAAGCCTTGAGAGAAATGTATGATCATCAAAAAACAGCAATCATCCCTCGGGCTCGTTATGATTGGATGCACTTATGCTTCCAAGACTTTAAAACTGTGAATGAGTACAATTCAACAATGTTTCGCATTTGCTCATTCTTGAAATTATGCGGGGAAATCATAACAAATTACGATATGCTAGAAAAATATTGTACACATCCTATGCATCCAACGTACTTTTGCAGCAATAATATATAACAAAAGGTTTTGCAAAATATTCTGAGTTAATTTCTTGTTTGTGCTAACTGAACAGAATAATGAGTTGTTAATGAAAAACCATGAATCTAGACCCACGGGTTCTACTGTTATCCCATAGATAAATGCTATAATCTCTAGACAGATAAGTGGAAATGAAAACAGCCAAATACATTTACGTGGATGTACCTCAGGTCGTGGTCGTTGATATGGGCCAGATCACCGATTTGGCCTAGGCCGCAAATTTCACCGAGGATCTAACTCAGGCCGAAAATATAATCGTGGATATGGTAAAAATGATGCCCAAAAGTAGAAATAGGGAGAAATTTCTAGCAAAAACTGAAACAGAAAAATGTGATAGAAAATTTCATAAAAGATAATGATGAAAAAAATGTTATCGATGCGGAAGGAATAGACATTGGCCACAAAATTATCGTGCTCTAAAAAAGTTGTTAATAATTATAGAGATTCACATAAATTAAAAGGGAATAATATAGAAACTAATTTTTGGAATTAAACCACTATAAAATAGTAAAATGATTGGCATATGAGGTGATGAGCAATGTAAAAAGTAATACTATAAATTTGGGACTGCCAGTTCTGAAACCCTTTTCTCTCCAACAGAAACCATTTTCTCTCTCTCGAACAGAAACCAGATCCCCTTTCCTGTCACCCACCCTAGCCTTCTTCCAGGCATCAGCCCCCTGTTTCCGGCTTGGTCGAGGTCGGACGATGCTTTTCCGCCTCAATTTCAGTCGGGCGTGGGCCGATTTTGTAGCGGCTCCTGGAGTTGCTGCGGCGTGGCCCTCGTTTCGGCTCAGGTCGGGGCCGTCGTGTCGTTTTCTCCTTCTGTTGCCTCGTGCCCGGCCGGGAGTCCTCCCGTTGGCCACCTTATTGTGTTTTCTGGTTGGAGGCTCCCACAGGCTGAGCTGTCTTTCTCGGTCTCGGTGGCGGTTGTGTGGCTCGTTGTTGCTGTCCTTCGCGTGGACCTATTCTTTCCGGTGCGGATATTCTATGAAGGCCAGATCTAAACTGAGAATTTACTCGTCAGATTTGTCTAGGTGACTACATTTCGTCGCAGTTTTTGGGTCTGGGGTTCGGTCTGCTCCTCTATTGGGCTTCTGTGCGGTTGACTTTGTCTTGCGCGATGGTTCGGGCGGCTTCGCTTCGTTTGTTCCCATTTTTTCTTATTTTTTTAGGTGTCCTGTGTGATAGGTGTAGGGGAGGTTTTATTATTAGTGTATGTTGTTTTTTTTTTTCTGTTTTTGTTGGTTGTTAGTACAGTTTTGTCTGCTTTTAGTGCAGCTTTGTCTGCTTCTAGTGCAACTGTGTCTGCTTTTGCTTTGTGGTTGTTTGCCTCCTTGATGGAGTTTGTACCCCTTGTGTATGATGACAATGGGGTTGGTTCAGTCTTCTGGTTTCAGTGTGTCATTTGACACTTCGGTTGTATTCTTATGAGTTTTTAAGTTTTTAATATAATTGTCGTTCGACAAAAAAAAAAAAAAGAGTGATGAGCATGAGTTGTACACAAGATGATCGTGAGCTGCAAACAAGATGGAAATGAGGGCGGTGTGACCAAATTATTTTAATATGTGATCATAGATTGTCTATAAAAGACAAACCAAATGAAGTGGAGAAAGATACTTACAAAAGAAAAAAAATTAAATTACAAGTTATATCTGGTTACTATTTTGAGTTCTTTATCTTCCCGATTTTTATAACAAAATTATAATTTTTAAAAAATAATTTTATACTTATCAATACCCATAATTACATACACTATTTTTAACTAACTGAGTATAGACCTATTAAAGGAAGTAAATAACACGTGAGCTCGCCCGACTCTTCAAAGATTGAGTTTAGCTCGACTCATTTGATAAACCAGCAGAGCCAAGATTTGTTAAAAAAATTATATAATTTTATTTTTATAATTCAACTTGTCAATATTCGAGTTTGGTTAGTTTAATTCAAGCTCAAATTATGAAGATTAATAAAAACAAAAGTTGAACTCGACTAATAACTAGTTTAATTTATTTCGATCGCTAAGGCTCCAGCTGGAAGAGTATAAGAGCACATTTGGTTGGGGTGATTAGATAGGATAAGCCCACTTATCCTGACC